ATTTTTTTTTAATAGGAAAAAATAGTTTCGAAGTAAAATCCTCGTAAAGGTTTCGAGGTAAATTCCTCGTAAACTTTCCTAGCAAACTCCTCGTAAAGTGTCTACTACGAGTTTACGAGGAAGTACTTTACTACGCCCTTACGAGGAAAGTATACGTGGAGCTTACGAGGAAATGTTTTTCACGGCTTTACGAGGAAAAGTTTCCTCGTAAATTAGCTAGGCCTTTACGAGGAAAATAGCCTTTACGATGAACGTCTTTCGACGAAACACGTTTCCTCGCTATTTCCTAGTAAAGGGCCCTTTACTAGGAAATAGCGAGGAAAACCCGTCCTAGTAAATGACGTGTTTTCTTGTAGTGTTTATTGAGGCCTAATTGGGCCTTTAATCTATTCGTGACTGTTCACATTCCGACCTAAATGGGACTCGACATCTGAAAGACCGTTCGCCTCCCTTCAACTATTCACACCCCCCTCTTTATGCGAAAAAGAACCCAAGGACCCTCCGAGCTAGCGATTTAGAAGACACGTCGAGTCGAGCTCCGAGCTAATGACTCGACAAACATACTGAAGTCAATTTCCGAGCTAACGACTCAGGAGGCACACCAAGTCAAGCTCCGAGCTAACGACTCGAAAACATATCGAAGTCAAACTCCGAGCTAATGACTCAGGAAATACATCGACGTAGAGCTCCGACCTAACGACTCAATAAACATGCGAAGTCGGAGCACCGAAGCTCGTTGGTCAAACCCATTATTCAAATAGACCAAGTAGACAAGACCCGTCCCAACTCAAGTCCTAACTTGGGAACGAGTCTGGGGGGCTTACTGGTTGTGGTGGAATACTCCCCTTTACAAGGCCCACTGAATAATGGGCCCGGCCTATACGAGCTCCGGCCCGACAAGGTAATCCAGCCGCTATCGATAGATAATCAAGCTTAACTCGGATAATCCCCGTGATTAGCCGAGTTAAGGACGTTTAGGCAGGATGCTCACCTCCGTGGGCCGATTGAGGCCCATTTGGCAGAAGGCCTCCGAACCTGCGACCAGTTCGTTACGCGTAGACATGTGAAAATCTTAACTTTTTGGGGTTTAAAACACGAAATAAAGTGTTTCTTTGTAGATTTACTAAAAATCGTGAACAAAAACAAGTAAAAGAAGTAAACAATCATGAAAAAAACACTAAAACACAAAATATGGATTTGAAGATCGACAATGGCTGCTGAAGAAGACATGTGTTTTTTTGTAATTTCACGGTCATTAATGGTAAAAGTGCGAAAAATAACAAAATAGCCACCAAGGATTTTGAACCCACGACCTATTGGAGGTTAGGGAAACCATTGAACCACTACACTAAGGGATAATCTTTTTTTTTATTACATTTACTAGTATATATACAAAAATACTAAAAATTAATCTCCGATTATTCAACGATTAATTTCCGATTTTGTCATTCGGCGCTAGGCGCCGGTCGAGTGTACGCGTAGCACCTAGCGAGTTTCAAAAAAGGGTTTAATATAAACCCATCCCTATTTTAACTCAACTCTATTTTAACCCTCTTTTAATCAAAAGGTAGGGCTGGTACCAAAGTTAACCCATTCAAATAAAAATTTAATTTAATTCATTTTTATTTTAAAGTGTAACAAAAAATATTTTTTTCAGTCAAAATCACAAATTAATTTTTATAAATTGAGTTTTCCGCCAAAATTGTGAACTCGAATTTTTTCGCCAAAACCGCGAAATCGAGTTTTCCCGCCAAAATCGTGAAATCGAGTTTTCCCGCCAAAACCGTTCCCGCCAAAACCGTTAAATCAAATTTTCCCACCAAAATTGCAAATTAAATTTTCCCACCAAAATCGAGAAATCAAGTTTTCCCGCCAAAACTGCAAAATCGAGTTTTTCCGCCAAAACTGCAAAATTGAGTTTTCCTGTCAAAATCACAAAATCGAGTTTTCCCATGAAAATCACAAAATCGAGCTTTCCCGCCCTAACCAAAAAGAAAGTAATTTCCCGCCAAAACTAACAATCAATTTTTTTTCACCAAAACCGCAAAATCGAGTTTTCCCGTCAAAATCACAAAATTGAATTTGGCGAAAAACTTATATTTTATATAATCAAACAAAATTAAAATTTCAGTATAGTTAAAAATTTGTATGAAACAAACTAAATGGGTTAAAATTAGGCCCTATAACTCTCATGGCTAATTATGGATAACCTTTTTTAAACCCTGAGTCAAAAGTAAGGGTTAGGGCTAATATTATTTATGCAGGGCTAGGGCTAACCCTGTTAACTAGAGCCCATATTAACATCCCTACCTTCATATGGATGGACAAGCAGAATGGCAGCGAAACCACTAATGTTATTGGGGATCAGGAAAAAGGTACATTCAGGAAATGAGATTAGAGTATGGGAGGATCTTTGGATACCAACATTACCAGCAAGACCAGCTAGGCCAATAGCTCCAATAGTACATCCAATGATATCAACTCGGGACCTTATGTCAGGAGAACCAAAATCATGGGATCTGGAGAAGCTAGAGAGTTATGTAGACCCTGAAGATATCCTCCTGATTCACTCCTTGGCCGTAAGCCAACGATACCAAAGAGACAAATATTGCTGGAGCTTCACAAAAAATGGAATGTATACTGTTAAATCAGGGTATTGGGTTGCTAGAAATATCCTAAACAAGGAAAGAGTGGCAAACCAAGGGGAACCGAGCATTACGATACTCCAAGCCTTTGCTTGGAAGATACAAGCTCCACCAAAGATAAAACATTGTGTCTGGCAAACAATCTGAGGACAACTAGTAGTAACCAGCAACTTAACACATCGTCATATGCGTTGCGATAATCACTGTCCTAGATGTGGAGCAGATGACGAGACTATTAATCATGCAATCTTTGAGTGCCCGCCAGCGTTACATACATGGGCTCATGCAGCAACTCCAACTCCACCAGCGATGTTTCCCAGTACAAGTAATTTCACGAATATAGACTACCTTTTTTGGAGGAAGAATGATATACAAGACCCTGAGATGGATAGAGATCCATACCCCTGGATTATGTGGTTTATTTGGAAGCAAGGAATGAGAAACTGTTCCGAGGAATAGACAGGGACCCTTTGAAAACTGTCCGACATGCCGATTGTAAGGATCTAATCTCAATGATTCAACTGTCTATCGGTGCCAAAAGCATGGCACGTCGATTGTAAGGATCTAGTCTCAATGATTCAAGACCCAGGAGACTATCGACGTGCCATGCTCTTCAACTATCGACGTGCCATGCTTTTGGCACCGATTGTAAGGATCTAGTCTCAATGATTCAAGACCCAGGAGCATGGCCCAACTTCTCTACTAAACTGGATGAGCTGCAGAAGCTGAAGGATGGTTTCCCAGAGTTCTCAATTGTTTTTATTCCTAGATCTAAAAATGTATATATCTTCTGATTCTTTGGCTAAGATAGCGAGATTCTTTCATAGGGACTTGTACTACATTGGTTGTTTTATTCCGGTCTAGTTTCCAGACCACCCCAAACTTGAGTAATAGATCAGCCGTTTGATGTTAAAAAAAGTTTTAAATTGCATGATTTATTGTTTAGATATGTAAATATATTTTAGTAAAGGATGTGTTGCCTTCCAGTAAGAACGATATTTGTAGGACCAAAAGATAAACACAATCTACAGTATTACGCTAATAACTCTATTTACTTGTAGATAGAGGCGGACCCAATAAAAGATTTGGGGTGTCAGTTGACACAAGTAAAACAATAAAAAGGATTGTTTTTGTATTGAAAAATGTATAGAATCATCAGTTCAACTGGTATTTTCAAAGGGTTGACACCCCTTAACCAAAGTTCGATTCTCCATCTAACACTTTTGTTGTGAATTTTTTTAAAAAAGAAAATTATGACACAGGTTAATATAATTGCTGGTCCGCCACTGCTTGTAGAGCAAACTTTTCATTCAGCACAACGATCTTACTATAAATAATACACAACTATGATTTTTTTCTACACATGCACTTGATTATATTGTGAGAAGCCACCACAAAGTCTTCTTCCTCATCTTGCAGAAGCGTATACGTGTGTAGAGGTATCAAAGACACGTTTGTCTTCTGTTGGCATCATTATAAAAACAAGTTGCATCGCACGAAGATGGATGAAGCCAGTTTTGAGCTCATGTTTGTATCTTACTATAGAGGAGTTACCTTGTAACAAATGTTGAGCTACTGGAAAGGGAGCTTAGAAGATAAGGTTAACTACGAGTTTCGGGTTTGATATTTCGGGTTTGATATTTGGGGTTTGATATTTCGGTAAGGTTGTGTTATGTTGTTGTTTTGACTTGAGCAGACAAAGATGGTTAAGTCTTAAGGTTTATTATTACAAACTAGGCAAGGTTATTATTAAAACTACACCTCCAAGATTCAAAGTTACCATCACCAACATATAAGACAAAAGGGTAGGGGTCAAATTACTGCTTTCCTCACTTGCGGTACCTGCACTCAAAACAACAAAGCATGGTTGTATTAAAATAAATATATTTGATCAATGTAAAAGTAGATAAGCTTGTATTCAAACCTCTGGATCTGATAGCGTATCAGAAGCCTTGCCCCTGGTGATTATTTATTCATCGGAAGGAAACAATAACAGTGTTAAATAAGAAGAAGATATAATACTCTTTGTATTGATTAATGAACAATCAATCAAATCACCTAAACATTGTTCCTGACAAAACAGTGAAAGCAGCAGTGTAGGAAAGTGCGTGTGCAGGTCGTACGTTGAAGCCTTGTTTCACAAAAGAGTATACCAACCCAACACCTCCTGCTGAGACCAATCTGCAAAGTTGTCAAAACCCAAATCAGAAACAAAGTCTGTATGTAATAAAATATATACAATCAAAACATAAAACATGGTTTCATCAAATCAAATAACAAACAAAGAAGACATCTTGAAAGCATACATCAGCGAAGAGTCTCGGCTAAGGAAAGTGCATAATTAACCAGGATAAAAAAAAATGTAATTGTTTGGAAAGAATTAATGAAACTTTACCGAGACATAAGACCATCTTTGCTTCTCGTAATGGATTCAAATCCAAACAACGCGGCGGTAAATGCTGAAAACTCCCGAGCACCCATACGAGCACACTGATTCACAGAAACCAAAATTTCTTTTGATGATTAGAAAAATGAAATTACTTTGGAAAATGATTTTTAGGATATGAACAGAACCTGAGCTTGACTCAGTTGGGCGCCTAGGACTTTGAAGCAAGGCCGGACCAGTGGGGGAATGAACATTCCTGCTAGACCGCCGTAAATAGCTCCGGCGACACCGCCATATATCGCAGCGATAACGGGTGAACGTGTTTGTTCGCTTTTCATTTCCTCTCTCTTTGAATCTTCTTTGAGCACACCCAAGCTCATATACTGCTGGCAGGAGCTTTAACCTAAAGCAACAACCAGAGCCTGGCCTAAGGGGAGGAAGGTGTTTTGAATGGGCCCCACTTAGTGGAATCCCTAATTAAAAAAAAAACTATATATATATATATATATCATATATGTAACCATAGTTATATAAGTGTTAAATATATAATAAATAAAAGTAAAAAAAAAATAGTTTACAAGAATAATAATGGAGAATTCGTCCAAAAAAAGCACCAACTTTGCACGAATGGCCAAAAGAAACCTGTACTCGAGTCTGGCCAAAAGAAACCTGAACTTTTGTTGACTTTATTAGTTTATTAAGAAACTTACGATTGACTCGCCATTTTAACACACCGTTAACGAACCGTTAAGACGGTGTTAACTCGGACGTTAATTTGTGCCGTTAGGATGAAACGACGTCGTTTTAAGCTATTTGAAAATAAAAAAACGTAGACCTCTGGATTTAAACCCGGGTTGATTGGATAAAGTGGAAAGGTAGTTTACCACTAGACTAGTGCCACATTCAATGTATCTACTAACACATTAATTTATATTTGGTACTGATTGAATATAAATAAAATTCTATAAAAACTTTAAAAATCTTTAAAATTTCAAAACAAATGAAAAATAAAGAATTTTTTTATAAAATTAATTTTGAAACTAAAATTAAAATAAAATTTTATTTTTCTTTAAAAAATCACACGGGAACTTATAAAATTTTATTTTTCTTTTAATGTATCTATTAACACATTTACTTATATTTGGTACTAATTGAATATAAAAAAATCTATAAAAACTTTAAAAAATCTTTAAAATTTCAAAACAAAATTAAAAAAATAAAGATGTTTTTTATAAAATTAAAATAAATTTTTTTTTTCTTTAAACTAAAATTTTGGAAGATTTTTGATTTTTAAAGAAAATAAAAATTATTTTAATTTTAAAATTAATTTTATAAAAAAACTCTTTATTTTTTCATTTTTTTGAAATTTTAAAGATTTTTAAAAGTTTTATAGAATTTATTTATATTCAATCAGTACCAAATATAAGTAAATGCATGTGTTAGTAGATACATTGAAAGAAAAATAAAATTTTAAGAGTTCCCGTCTGATTTTTTTAAAGAAAAAAAAATTATTTTAATTTTAATTTCAAAATTAATTTTATAAAAAAAAAATCTTTATTTTTTTCATTTTTTGAAATTTTAAAGATTTTTTAAAGTTTTTATAGAATTTTTTTTATATTCAATAAGTACCAAATATAAATTAATGTGTTAGTAGGTACATTGAATGCGCCACTAGCCCAGTGGTAAACTACCTTGCAATTTAATCCAACTAACCCGGGTTCGAGTCCAGTGATCTACGTCTTTTTATTTTCAAATCGCTTAAAACGACGTCGTTTCATCTCAATTGAAAACGACGTCGTTTCATCTTAACGGCAACAATTAACAACGTTAATTTTTTCTGTTAAATTTGTTGACGGCGTGCCAAATTGGCAAGTCAACGAAAACATTGTTAATTAATTCGAAAGTCAATGAAAAGTTTATGTTTTTTTGGTCATGCCAAAAGTTCCGGTTTCTTTTGGCAATTCGTGTAAAGTTCGTGTTTTTTTTGGCCGAATTCTCAATAATAATGAGACTACTAATATAAGGAAAATATTGTTTTGTTACTAAAATTCATCTTTTGTTGTAAACAAGAGGAATAAGTTGTATTTTATTTCATAAACATTAGGCCTCCGTATAGAGGGAATTACACCATCATAGATAAATGGAAAGTACATGAATATATAAATCCTAATCCAAGAGACAAAAGAGAAAGAGTAAAAAGGAAAATCATAAGAGATAAATTTGGCGATTGAGCCGAACGGACCGATCTGGTTCGAGCCTGGTTATGGGTTGTGCACCATATGATTTATAACGGGAAAACGGCCGATTAGTACCTGAACTATGGTTATATTGTCTGATCAATACCCAAACTATTTTACTGTGCGAATTTGTACCTGATCTAATACAAATTTTGAATTTAATACCTTAACTATGGTCAAATTGTCTGATCAATACCTACACTATTTCACTGTGCGAATTTGTACCTGCTCTAATAAAAATTTTAAATTTAGTACCTGAACTTATAAAATCTGACTTTTACATACCTACGACTAACAACATGTCGGTATTCTGCTGAGGTGGACCGGTTTCTTGAGGAGTTGACGTTGTTTCAAAAAAAAATATAAAAAATAAACAAAAAAAGAAAGATAACTTGATTCTAACCTGGATCCCAAACATAAACATAATAATGACAATAACCGTTTATGCTAGAAAAGATTCGTCGTTTTGTTGTACCAAAACAACTATATAACCTTTGCGTGGTGTCTCTGTTCCTCACAACCATGCCTCAAATGATTCTTTTTAAATCTCTTTTTCTTTTGAATCTCATTTATCAAATCTCATATAATCATTTTTTTAATCTCGTTTCATCAAATCTCATCAATTTTTTTCATCACAACAACGATTAATTATATGAGATTTGATGAATCATTTAAGACATGGTAGTGACAAACAACGATTAATTATATGAAATTTGATGAATCATTTGAGACAGGGTGGTGATAGATAGAGACACCATTCAAAGGTCATTTGGATTTTATCCAGCATAAGCGGTTAGTGAAATTATTATACATATGTTCGGAAACACGGGTTCGAACCAAGGCGGCCTCATTTTCGTTTTTTTTTTTTTTGAAACAACGCCAACTCATCAAGAAACCGGTCAACCCCAGCATAATACCAACACGTTGTCAGTTGCAAGTATGTAAAAGTCGATTTTTACAAGTTCAGGTATCAAATTCAGTTTTTTTATTAGATCATGTACAAATTCGCACAATGAAGTAGTTTGGGTACTGATAAGACAATATGACTATACTTCAGGTACTAAATACAAAAATTTTATTAGATGAGGTACAAATTCGCACAGTAGAATAGTTTGGGTATTGATCAGACAATATGACCATAGTTCAGGTACTAATCGGCCGTTTTCCCGATTTATAACACTCCCCTTTGGACGCTATAACCATTCAGGGTTTGTAATATGCTTAATGTTGCCTCATTAAAACTTTACCAGGAAAACCCAATGGTACAAAATCATGGCAAAGGGAAAAGAGTACAACACATGTTACTCCCTCTGATGAATGCATCACTGAAGGTCTTTCAGTCGACGCATCCCAATATGTATGAGCTTCTTTAATGTCGAGGTCGGTAATGACTTAGTGAGCAGGTCGGCTGAGTTGTCGCGGGAACGTACTTGAACCACTTGGACCTCTCCGGCTTTCTGCCACTCGTGAGTGAAGAAGAATTTGGGCAATATGTGCTTCGTCCTGTCTCCTTTGATGTAGCCGTCCTTGAGTTGAGCAATGCACGTTGCATTGTCCTCATACATCACGGTTGGTTCCTGTCTTCGGACATCCGACAATCGGCTCGTACATGTTGAGTCATCGACCTCAAGCAGACATACTCGCGGCTGATTTCATGAATAGCTAAGATTTCCGAATGGTTGGATGATGTAGCCGCAATCGCCTGCTTCATGAAACGCCATGATATGGCCGTACCACCATGTGTAAAAACATAGCCTGTCTGTGATCGAGCATTGTGTGGATCAAATAGATAACTTGCATCAGCAAAACCTACTAAATCTTCTTTTTTTTGGTTAGTATAAAATAGACCCAAGTCTTTTGTTCCTTGTAGGTAACGAAGAACATGTTGTTTAATCTCGCCCAGTGCCTTTTGGTTGGAAAAGAGCTAAACCTAGATGAGAGGTTTATGGCAAAGCATATATCAGGCTGTGTGTGACTTGCCAAATACATTAATGCTCTTATGGCACTGAGATATGGCACTTCGGGACCAAGAACATCCTCATCGTCCATCTTGGGACGAAACGGATCAGTTTCCAGGCCGAGGGATCTTACGACCATGGGCTTAGATAAAGTGTGAGACTCGGCCATGTTAAATCTCTTGAGTACTTTTTCGGTATATGCCATTTGATGCACAAGGATTCCATCATTTATGTACTCAAATTGTAATCCCAAACATAACTTAGTTTTTGTTTTCAAGATCTTTCATTTCGAATTCTTTCTTAAGATATTCAATTGTTTAGGAAATCTCTCCAGAGGTTCCTAGGATATTTTAGATCATTAACATACACATGTATAATTTAGTTCTCGAGAACCTGTTGCATTAGACAACTTAATATCCTCTGGAACTTTCATATATATCTCATTATCCAGTGGACCATACAAGTAGGCAGTTTCTACATCATTTAACCGCAAGTTTATTTTCTTGTCTTATGGCCAGACTTATTAGAAATCTAAATGTTTGTTGTATCCACCACAGGGGATTATGTCTCCTCCTGGTATTTGTGAGAATCTTAGGATTGATCATGTCTAGGATTCCCTTGTCCACAGATTTATTTGAACCTTTCTTTAATGTCCGAGGGACCTTATCTTTGGAATTTATTGGTCTACCACGTTACAAACGTTCCTTAGACTCAGTAGCAAATTGATTGTGTCCTTCTTGAACATCAATTCAAATTTGGTGCATTTACAGCTGGTATATATGACTTAGTCATTCTATTCGGGTCAACAAAGGAATCTGGCAATTGATTAGCTAGCTTTTGTAAATGTATTATTTTATACACTTCAAGATCACACACTTGAACCTGAGGATCTTGCCATGTTAAGGATGCTTGATTCCATGAAATTTCTTTTACCAGCTTATCATTATCTCCCCATAATGTTGGAAGTTCAGATTCATTAAAATGACAATCCGCATACCTGGCCTTCAATAAATCACCCGTAGTTGACTCAAGGTATTTTATAATCATGGGGGAATTAAATAACATATATCCCCATCCTCCTTTGAGGTCCCATCTTTGTTTTCTGTGGTGGAGTACTTGGAACATAAACGGCACAGCCGAATG